CTCAAAACAAGGAAAGAAATGTGTGTTGTTAATGCTGTTGGGTAGGATACAGTAATTCTAAAAAAAAGTATATCTTTTTAATCATTTGATGGCATATTATTTATAAAGTTAAAGATCCGATTTCTTTCATAAAGTCCATAATCATTTTTTTATCAAATGCTCTCACACAAACATGCAGTTATCACAGTTTATAAAGAATTGATATATAAATTACCATAAATGATCAGTCTTGGTTTTGAAATCAGAAACTACAGAAACAATACTACCCTCAATTCAGCCCGATTTGTTTTTTCACAACAGCAATTCTATTGGTAATTTTCTTAAGTGGAAGAAACAATGCATTATGCTTTAATGTAATCTACCTCTTTACTTGTCCTAGCTGTCAGGTACGTGGGTTCAACCTCACGGTGGCTGCGACACTGCAGTCTCGAACGTTTCAAGTCTGTCAGGACTAGCCTAGTACTGAGTAAACTATCCTTCTCAGCAACCAGAGAGCATTCTCACTTTCACAACCACTCGTTTAACACCACAAATTTCCAAACCTTGACCTTCTTTCCTAACGGATTTGCCAGGATCATACACGAATCTCTCCGCACACAGATCAAGCACTGCAACCACCTTATATACTGTTTAATGTTAAAAGATTAGTTACCTTAAACAGGCATTTTTTTCTGCCATCGATATGTACCTTTCTATTTTTTGTGTAATATGTTTCGGTAGTCTTTGTTATGCATTTTTCCATGATTAAAAGCGATTATTTGAAGGTATATAATTATAAGGACCTTAGTCCCTGGTCGTCGGGCTGCCTGTCACACACATGGCCCGAGCTCCCTACCTCTCTATACCCCCCCCCCTCCCTCCCCGATGCCGCCTGGCCATAGGACTCACTCTGGCTCATTCTCTCTTCGGCTTATTCATTCAGCCTTTTGTATATACTTATATATGTATTTATGCATATATACATATATATACACATATACGCGTGTGTATATATATAAATATGTGTGTGTGTTTGTGTTTATACATATATGTATATATATGTGTGTTTGTATACACACATATATACATATGTATCCGTATATATATGTATACATACATGATCACACACACATTCTATATATTATTCATCTATATGCTATTACATATGCAGGTATATCTATACACACACATGCACACACATACACGTCTATGTGTATTATGTGAATATATATAATGTATATAAAATTTATACATATACATATGTGTATATATATATATATATATATATATATATATATATATATATATATATAAAGAGAGAATATCATTAAAACTCTTTCACAAGAAATGCTACTGAAAACCTTAAACAATATCTCAGCCATCCATGCATACTCATTATGCATGGCTTTGACCAAACATGCTTTCTTAATTTGCACATCATGACTCGTATATAGTGTTTAGTTTTATCAGTTGCACTGAAATATAAACAGTGAATTGTACAGTAAGGGCCCATGCTATTGATACAACAATTAGTCAGTGAGGGAGGTTATATATATATCTCCCTCCTATAACGCATTTGACTTAAAATCATCAGCGAGATCTATAAGGGGGGGGGGGGGTAAATACGACACTGGTTTCGTTTCATCCGAATCCGTCAAATTACACACACACACACACATATATATATCGGTGTGTGTGTGTGTATCGTATACACATATATATTTGTAGATAGACAGATACATATATATCTATATACATATATACACATACATATATACAAACACACACACACACACACGCAGATATATATGTATATATACATATATGAATAAGGAAAACACTCTACCGTGTTGATACTATGGTAGAAACACCCACAATGTAAAAACTAGATTTATTGAAAATGAAAATGAGACGACAGTTTCGGAATCCACCTGGATTCCATCCTCAGACCTGAGGATGGAATCCACCTGGATTCCGAAACTGTCGTCTCATATACATATATATATATATATATATATATGCATATATATACTTATATATACATATATATATACATATATATACATATATATACATATATATACATATATATACATATATATATTTACATATATATATATATATATATATATATATATATATATATATATATGTATGTATATGTATGCATGTATGTACATAATATATATATACACATATATTTATATATATATATATACATATATACATACATGTATATATATATATATATATATATATATATATATATATATATATATATGCATGTATGTACATAATATATATATATGTATATATATGCATTTAAAACCTCGCTATCATTACTCATGGATGAGTAGATAGGTAATGTCTATGAAGCTAGTTAGATCCTAGGGGCGAAACGTTTTAGTGGGGAGGCAAGGGGACTGAGGGTGGGTGGACTAAGGGCAACGGGTCGAGCGAGGAGGGATAAGACGGGTCGCATTGGCCGGGTCAGGACAGGGAGGGTAAGAGACAGTACAAACACAAATATATGATACAAAGGGACGGGAAAGAGTAGGAAGGTGGGAAAAGATAGGAAGAGAACAGGGAAACGGGAAAAGGGTGGGCATGGAGGGAAGAAGGGGAATAAACAGGGGCCAGCGGTCGGCGGGGGGGAGGAAAATGATACAGGGGGGAGAGAGGCTCCAAAAGAATCAGAGCAACAAACGAGATGAGGCTGGGAGAAGCGGTAACAAACAGGCACCGTACCGGCGCAGTTGCTGCAAGGCAAGTAACAACACAACCAAAAACACAGAAAACCCGACTATAGAGAAAAGTATAGAAAGAGATGAGAGATAGATCTAGATAGAGACAGTGGGTGGATTTATATATATACACATCCAACCTTCACACCCACCCGTTTAACACTACAAATTTCAAAACCTTCCATCCTAACAGATTTGACCTGATCATGCCTGAATCTCTCCGCACACAGACCAAGCACTGTAACCACCCTATATACCATTCAAATGTTAAAAGGATAGTTACCTTAAACTGGCATCTTTTCTGCAGTCGATATGTACCTTTCCATTTTTTGTGAGTAATAGGTTTCGGTAGTCTTTCTTATGCATCTTTCGATGATTAACAGCGATTATTAAAAAGTATATAATCATACTGACCTTAGTCTCTGGTCGTCTATATATTTATGCATATATACATATATACAAATATATACGTGTGTGTATATGTATATATATACACATATGTGTTTGTTTTTATACATATATATGTATATATATGTGTGTGTGTATACATATATATACATATATATGTATCCGTATATATATGTATACATACATCACACGCACACACATATTTTTATATATTTTTCGTCTATATGCTATTTTCAGAGGGTGGCATAGCTCAGTGGTAGAGCGCTGGCTTTGCAATCGCAAGGTCCTGGGTTCGCGGCCGGCCGCCGCCCCTCTCAGTCGACTCAGCTGTGAATGAGTACTGATATGCTGACGTCAGCATGTTGGGGTCAAGGTCGGAGCGGAAAGGAACTGGCCACCCTACCGCATCATCCCGCGGCTTAGTAAGCATGTTTCTCTGCGAACATGTCCTACGTTCACATGGACATGGGACCAACTTTCACTTTGATATGCTATTATATGTGCAGGTTTATCTATTCACACACATGCACACGCATACACGTGTCTATGTATGTATGTGAATATATATAATGTATACATACACATATATAAGTATATATATATATATATATATATATATATATATATATAAAGAGAGAATATCATTAAAACTCTTTCACAAGAAATGCTACTGAAAACCTTAAACAATATCTCAGTCATCCATGCATACTCATTATGCATGGCTTTGACGAAACATGCTTTCTTAATCTGCACATCATGACTCGTATATAGTGTTTAATTTATCAGTTGCACTGAAATATAAACAGTGAATTGTACAGTAAGGGCCCATGCTATTGATATAACAATTAGTCAGTGAGGGAGGTTATATATATATTTCCCTCCTATAACGCATTTGACTTAAAATCATCAGCGAGATCTATAAGGGGGGGGGGGGGTAAATACGACACGGGTTTCGTTTCATTCGAATCGGTCAAATCCCCGTCATTCAGCGAACGCCTGGAATCCGGTTGTTGGAGGCAAGGGCGAAATAGACCTTGGTGATCGAATATAAAAAAAATATGATAATTACCTCTTCAGACCCACTGAGGTGCACATGGGAGAAAACGGGAGCGAATTTGCAGTTGGCATCAATATTTTCCGTATCATTATAAGCAATCTGATTGTACGTTAGGCCACTGAGGTTCTTTCCGTTCAGATACAGTACGCACATACACATATATATGTATATATACACACACATACATACACAAACACACCCACACACACATGCACACACACAAACACACATATATATATATATGCACACATACACACACACATGTACACGAACACACAAACATACACACACGCATATAAATATGTACACATGTACACGCACACACACACACACACACACACACACACATATATATACACACACGCGTATTTATTATTTCATTTATATTTATATCTATATATACATACATATACATACACACATTCATATGAACATACATATATACGTTTATTTATATTCATATATATACATATACATACATACATATTCATATGAACCATATATATATATATTATACACACACATATATATACATGTATATATATATATGTATACACACATACATATATCATATATGTATATGCATATATGTATATGTATATATACACACATATATATGTATATATATATATATATATATATATATATATATGTGTGTGTGTGTGTGTGTGTGTGTGTGTGTGTGTATACATATGCAGTTTTTGTTTTGTTTTGTTTATGTGAATAAGGATATATTCGTCTGTATACCGTGTATTATACCATTGTTTTTTTTTAGATGATTGATTTGCATAAAAGGTAAAGAAGAAATATAA